TAGGCTCCAAAGCTACATAGAGAAACTCTGTCTCGAAAAACCAAAAAAATAAACAAAACAAAAACCAGTGGGGTACAGAAGTAAATAGAGAATTCTCAATAGAGGAATCTAAAATGGCTGAAAGACACATAAGAAAGTGCTCAACATCCTTAGCCAATAGGGAAATGCAAATCAAAACTAGTCTGAGATATCATCTTACTCCTGTCAGAATGTCTAAAATAAAAAACACCAATGACAGTTTATGCTGGAGAGGTTGTGGAGAAAAGGGAACACTCCTCCACTGAAGGTGGGAGTGCCAACTTGTACAGCCACGTTGGAAATCAGTATGGCAGTTCCTCAGGAAAATGGGAATCAGTCTACTACAAGATCCAGCAATTCCACTCTTAGGCATATACCCAAAGATGCACGTTCATACATCAAGGACATCTGTTCAACCATGTTCATTATTTGCAAGAGCCAGAACCTGGAAGCAACCTATATGCACCTCATCTGAAGAATGGATGGAAAAAATGTGGTACTCTTACACAATGGAGTACCACATGCAGGCAAATAGATGGAGTTAGAAGAAACCATCCTGAATGAGGTAACCCAGTCACAAAAAGACAAACATGGTATGTACTCACTCATATATGGGTTTTAGACATAGAGTAAAGAATTACCAGCCTATAATCTACACCTTCAGAGAAGCTAGGAAACAAGGAGGAACCTAAGGGAGAGATACATGGTCCCCAGGAGAAGAGGAAAGATCTCCTCAGCAAATTGGGAGCATGGGGGGAGGGGAGAGGGAGTTAGGAGAAAGAGAAGGGGAGAAGAGGAGGGGAGGGGAGGACATGAGTGAGCAGGAAGATTGAGTCATGGGGAAGAACAGAGGAGAGCAAGACAAGAGATACCATAATAGAGGGAGCCATTATAGGTTTAAAGAGAAATCTGGCACTAGGGAAATGTCCAGAGATCTATAAGGTTGACCCCAACTAACAATCTAAGCAGTGGTTGAGAGGCTACCTTAAGTGCCCTTCACTGATAGTGAGATTGATGACTACCTTATATGCCATCCTAGAGCCTTCATCCAGTAGCTGATGGAAGCAGAAGCAGACACCCACTGCTAAACACTGAGCTGAACTCCTGGAATCCAGTTGCAGAGAGGGAGGAGTGATGAGCAAAAGGGTCCAGACCAGGCTGGTGAAACCCACAGAAACAGCTGACGTGAACAAGGGGGAGCTCATGGACCCCAGACTATAGCTGGGAAACCAGTATAGGACTGATCAAGACTTCATGAATGTGGGTGTCTGTGAGGAGGCTTCTTCAATCTATGGAGCCTCTGGTATTAGATCATTATTTATCCCTAGCAAAAGAATGGACTTTGGGAGCCCATTCCACATAGAGGAATACTCTCTCAGCCTAGACACACACGGGGGAGGGCCTAGGCCCTGCTCAGAATGATGTAGGCCCTGCTCAGAATGATATGACAGACTTTGAAGATCCCCCATGGAAGATCTCATCCTCCCTGGGGAGCAGAAAGGTGATGGGATAAGGGGTTGGTAGGGTGCAGGGGAGGAGGGGAGGGAGAGGGAACTGGGATTGACATGTAAAACAAGCTTGTTTCTAATTTAAAAAAAAAAAAGAGAGAGAGAAAAAAGGGCCCTACCCATCTTCCATCCTGCTTTCTCTTTTCTTCTCTTCCTCTCTGTCTGCTTCCTTTCTTTTTTCTCTCTCCCCCCTGTTGCTCCTATCCCCAGAGGCTGGTATCTCCCCTTCCCTTTTCCCTTTTCTGATCCCTTTCTCAAAAAACAAAACAAAACAAAACAAAAAAAAACCCTCTGCTTGAACCCTGCTGCATGACATCTTTGTTTCATGTTGCTTTTCTTAAATTACAACAAAGACCACCTGCTCAGGAGTGGTACTACCCATGTGAGCTGGGCCTTCCGACACCAGTTGTTAAGACCTACAGGCTTGCCTATAGGCAATCTGATAGAGGAATCTTCAGTTAAGGTTCTCTTTTTTCTCAAATGTCTCTAGCTTGTGTCAAGTTGATAAAAATCTAACCAGTACAAATGACCCCTCATCAAATTGACACATAAAATATCATTATTAAACTATAACCTTTCCTTTCTTATATATCCCCAGGATCTCATGTTAATAATGCAATATAAAACTGTAATTTGAAAAGTTCCATAGTCTTTAAAACATTGAAACACTTGTGTGTAGGTATTCTCAGGGAAGTGCACTTAGTATTGGATAACGAACTGGTGCTCTCTTCTCTGGGCAAGACTCTTTCTCTTGAGTCCAATGTTTCTTAGTTGTTTGTAGTTCTGTGTCTAGGGATCAGACCTCTTGAGTTTGTCTCCCTCCCTCATTCCTTTCTACAGAAGAAGAAAACTAGTCAGATTTGACTGAAATTAAAGTGCAGGCTTTGTTGGGGTTAAAGTTCAGGGGCAAAGCAATCACAGAGCATGAAGAAAGGAAGAAAAGGGAAGGGAAAATGATGTAATCATATAATTTCAAAAACATAAAAAATTAAAAAATTCAAGCTCTTTAAAAGTTCACCCTCTTAAAAATCCAACATCATTTTAAAAGTTCAAAGTCAACTCTGGGTTTCTATAAAAACAATAATTAAGTTATATTCTTCTTATTCCAGGGGGAAGTACCATATCCAAGCAAAACCAAAATTCAGCATTATAAATATCTCTGTATCCAATAATACTATGAATGAAGAATTGAATTATGAGGCACAGCATGTAGGCATTTTCTATATTAATATCGTGTGTGTTTGTGTGTTTGTGTGTGTGTTTCTCAAATTTAGTCAAGATCACCATATAATCTGGATTTTTCAATTCATTTACATTATTTTACATAATAACTGTAGGCAAAACATGTGCAAATATATGTGACATCCTCTCCTCATACTAGTTTATTAAATTGTTAAATAATTATTCTTCAGAATGACATTCTTTTAAAATTACTCATTTATTCCTCTTTATACATAAACTTGTAGATGATATTTTACTCTCCAATGATAATACTGCTTTTCTAAGTGAATGTGTGGAGTCTCTGAAAGTAGCTGAAGTCTAATGAAAGAGCCCCAGATGTAATGGTCTAGTATCTGTGTTCCACTCTTTGAACCATGCTTTTTGTTTGGAAGCACCAAAGATGGACTTGTTCATGCTCTGTGATTGCTTTGCCCCTGAACTTTAACCCCAACAAAGCCTGCACTTTAATTTCAGTCAAATCTGACTAGTTTTCTTCTGTAGAAAGGAATGATAATACCCACCACACAAAACTGTTGTAAATATTAATAGATAAATATGCTGTATAAAAACACATGATACAAAGCCTATGCTGTAGTTTCATGGTTGTCATCTCCATGCTATATCTAAAAGGTAAATTATTCATTTTTATCCCTGACTTCCAGCATATTAATTCAAAATCATAGTATGGTTAATAAAAGGCCAAGCAAAGCTATAACTAAATTGGTACACCAAAAACTTTAGACAGAGCACATAAGTGACCCTGTTCTAAAAATTATGGGTCCCCTGTAACCAGACAGAATTTCATAAAAAGCCTTAAAATGGCTCGTTAATGGAAGGCATCAGATTTCAACAGCTTACTCTTAAGTGTCTCATTCTAACACTCAAGGACAATTATCAGAACTTTGCTTTGAACGTGGCTGGTAAGGTAAATGCAAGTGGCTTTCATCATCTGTAGTTTTAACAGGGCATTAAGCTACTGTCCAATCAAAATGATGCCCAATTTCTAATTCTTTCCAATATTTGGAAGCAGATGGTAACACTTATGTTCTTTAATATCTGTCACTGGAGTCAACTGCGAGTCTCCTCTGATGTAAGGCTCTTTCTGGCCTTACTGTTTGATCACTTATTTTATTTTTCCTGGCTAATGTTTCACACTTTGTGCTTTATACCTTCCAGTAAGATCCTTTGAAACTCAGACTTCAAAGCAAGCTGTGCTGAATGTTAACACAAGCCCACATCTACAAAAGCAGGTATGCCTTAAAAACTTACTTCTATTTATCAACAGAACCTAATGTAATCTTAAATGTAAGACAGAAACTTAAAGTAATCTTTGTGTTGTTTTTAGTTTTCTTTCATAGAAATTGATTTAGACAAATGCAGATGTAATAGTCGTCAGGTCTACCAGAGCTCTTTACGGCAAATGGTAATGATCACACAGGAAGAAGCTTGAACTTAACCAAGAACTTATAATAAAATAAAAAGGATGTTTTCTTCCAAAAGAACTTGTTAACTATTATTATAACATTTTTATCTTTATGAATAAATTGTGCTCTACCATTGAACTTAGGTGAAATGTTAAGACTATGAATTTGTACATCTTAATAAAATGCTGTCAGTACAGAAAATTTGCCCATTGAAGAATGAGTTGCTTGAGGTCAAGAATTCATATTAGCTTTGTGCATATAACAGGCAGAGCAGAAAGTACTTAATAAATGTTTCATTACTGACTAAATCTCAATTGCCTGAACTACACAGTGAGTTTTGGGCCAGTTTCAGACAATGGTACAAACAGACCAAACAAAACAAAACTAGAAACCTACAGGCCAGGCATAGTAGAACACCTTTTATCCCAGCACTGTGGAAGCAGAAGCAGGCGAATTTATGTGAATTAGAGACCAGTTTGGTCCACACAATGAGTTCTAGGACAGACCCTGTTTCGAAAAGTCAAGGGGGAAAAAAAAGGAAAAAAGAAATCTACAATTTCAGTTTTTAGAAAAGGGGCAAATTTTAAAACATCTAAAAATTTAAGCAATATTCTACTTTAAAAAGGAAAAAAAAGGAAAAAAGAAATCTACAATTTCAGTTTTTAGAAAAGGGGAAAATTTTAAAACATCTAAAAATTTAAGCAATATTCTACTTTAAAAATCTTCTCCACAACTGCCTATCATGTCTCCTGGTACTAGTGTGGTAGGACTGATTTTTGAGAGCTCCAGGAACAAATATAAATGAATGCTGTTAAAAACAGCCACTGCAGGTGAATAAATATGATTAAGATTTCTAGGTTATATAAGTTTGGTATGCTACCTTGCATCAATATTCTGAGATTATGTAGGAAAAGTCCCTACTGTAACATATAAGCTTAAGTTTTAGGGATAAAAAGCCAATGTCTACTCAGACTGCCACAAAAATATCAGACATATACAAATTCAATCACAGAAAATGAGAGACATCTAAATACACTAAAATGTTAAGGAGGAGCCAAAGGACATTCAGAAATTATTTTTCTTTCTTTTGTTGAAAATAATATAAACTTAAGGAAAATAATAACAACATTTGAAATGTTTCAGAGGAACCACACAATAATTCTGATAACAATCTCTATCAGAAACATGTATTTAAATATAGGATGAAATAAAGTTCCATTCATTTCTTGGAGGGCAATGTAGATATGAATTTCACACCAGAAGCAATTAAATACATAAACCTGTTTACTATACTTCCCTATATAGAATTTATACCATTACATCCAGGATGAATCAACTTGAATTTAAAAATATAATTCGATTTTAGAGAACAAGGTACTAAATAAACATAAAATATTAAATTGAAGGTACAACAAATGATGTTTTCCAGTTTATAAATGAACACATACTATCATTAAGAATCTGGTCATCTTTCTTACTTTAAGTCAGTTAATTCTTAATTAAATGCAATTAATTAAGGACTATCATAAGGTAAACTCAGCCAGTGATTTGTGACTGTTTCTGTCTGTCCTATTAAAGATCAATTCAGGAGTCTTTGTGATGCTGGGAAAATACCCATTGTCTACTTGTCAATGAAGTATATAGAAAATTAAGATGTATTAAATAAAGAAAGCTGTTTTCATGTCAAAAATCACTAACCAAATATATATTATCAAAGTTCATCAAGGTTAAGATAGAATTCGAAATAGAGGAAAACAACCCTTACCCTATTGGGAAATCAACATCATCACCATGAGCTGTCATGTGATAAAGTCCAAATTTAGCCAGTTTAACATGACCCTAAAATAAAAAAAGAGAAAATCACTATGAATACAATTGTCTGAATACAATTGTCAAAGAAAATTATCAATATATGTTTTATAAATATGATAACTGAAAGAAAAAATAGACTAAAAAGGAAACGACATGACTAGTCCTAGGTATGGTGGAAGAGAAACTTTATTGTAGATAAAAAGGAGAGCATGGCCAGAGGCAGAGACATCTGGGTGAATCCAGAATGGACATAACCAGACTGAGTTGGACCATGTGGGGGATGGGAAGGAGAGGGGAGAGAGGGAAGATGATGTGACAGGCAGGAGGCCCAGAGGAGAAGAAAAGACAACCAGGTTACCAAAAAAATCTTAATTCTATAGGGAAGGGCAGCAGGGGGAAGGGCAGCCCAGATGCTGGGTAGGAGAAGTTTGGGGTAGAGGTCTGGGTATGCCAGCCAGGAGGGCCCCGAAACAGGTAGGGACTGAGAGATAAAGGGATACCAGAAGGGGGCATCAGATTCCTTGGAAGTGTAGCTGCCTGATGTAGGTAGAGTGAACTGGACTCAGGTCCTGTGGACAAGCAGCAAGTATTCTTAACCACCAAGCCATCTCTCCAGTCACATACATACAAAATGCTACTATTTAAGATTTTATAAAACACTATAATTTTAGGCAGAATCATTTGTCAAAGTTTAGCATGCTTTACACTTATTACATGTATATAAATGCTTGTAGGCATCAAAATGTCTAGAGATGACCCAGTGTTAAAAAACACTTGTTGCTCTTACTGAGGGTCCAGGTCCAGGACAGCCAGGATAGCAACACACAGAAACTCTGTCTCAATAATAATAATAATAATAATAATAATAATAATAATAATAATAATAATAATTTCACTTAATGTACTGCTGATTATTGGAGGATTTCAGTAGCTTTCATTCTCAAGCAACATAAATATATCTGTTACTAGCTGAAAATTACCTTTCGATCCAACAGGATGTTATGAGGAGACAGTGCCCGGTGGACTATGCCATGCTTGTTCAAGTACTGTAAGCCCTGAAGTACCTCAAATGCTATGCACAAAACCTTTGTATAACTACAAAGAAAACAAACAGCCAGAGATCAATTACAAGGTAAACACAGTCTGTTTTAAGGAGTAAATTGAGACATAATAAAAGCATTCAGTAATGCGCTGTTGCTCCTCTTCCATTGAGAGAAAGTAGAACATGCACATCTTCAAAATATCTACTTTGCTTGGAGGTGGTGGCACAGCCTTAATTCCAGCACTTGGGAGTCACAAGAAGGCAGGTCTCTCTGAGTTTCGGCCAGCGTGGTCTACAAATTGAGTTTCAGGACAGTCAGGGATACACAGAGAAATGCTATCTCAAAAAAACAAGTATGTGGGGTGTGTGTGTGTGTGTGTGTGTGTGTGTGTGTGTACATATTTATGTATGTATATGTGACACATGTATACACATATACATACATATTTACTTCTACATATTCTGGATATCCTGATTATAACAAAACTGACATGCTACAGAATCTTACAGTTTGGGCTACAATAAAAACCATCTTTACTTTTCCCTGGGAAGGGTTTTAATTTGGAGGTTGTACACTTTTATAGCAGAAAGAGATGCATTTGCTACTGACCGGCTCAGTGTTTTATCAAATTATCACTAATATTTAAAATATCTGGATCAAATCAATAAAATCACCAATTCTGTCAAAATAAAAACAAAACAACTAATCCATGAAAATAAATTTTATATACTATATAAACATTACATATTTCCATATGAACTCATAAAACAACTTCCAGTGATTCATGTTTATCAAACCCTCACTTTAATTCATGGCTTATCCTCTCTAAGCCAGAGAGATGCCCATCTCTTTTACCATTTATCCTGTCTTTCTTCCATTGTTCTTCCCTGAGTTTCTTTAGTATGTACAGAAAAGTACAGAGAACTCATTCAATTCAACCTTCCAACTACCAATATTTTTTATTAGAAGGTTTCTCCTACCCATGTTTTATTCTTAAAAATTAGTATCTGGAAGCAACCACAAAAAGTAAACTTTCAAAGAGCTACAGATACTGAGGCAATAGTAACGATTAAGTGAAATTATTTTTTTTTTTTTGAGACAGAGTTTCTGTGTGTTACTATCCTGGCTGTCCTGGAACTTTGTAAAGCAGTTTGGCCTCCAGTTCACAGAGATCTGTCTGCCTCTGCCTCCTGAGTGCTGGAATTAAAGGCCTTCAAAATCACTAAGAATTTTTAAATAAGAAACATAAGAAAATTGAAGAGCAAATAGCAATAATGGATGATGGTACACACACATCAATTATTATTATGTTAAATGCTAACAGTGCTCCTTAAGCACTGAAAGAACTTAAATCTGATAAGAATTGAGGAAACACTAGAAAAGACCTAAGTTATAGGAAAAAGAGTGATTAACAGATCAGTGGTTACAATGGGCTTTTGGGAGCACAAAGGAGCATAAAGAAAAAGCTTGAGGGCATTGGAATGGCTCCATTTATACTTGATGAGACATTGTTTATCAAACATCTTAGACTAAATCCTATGCTATGAGAATTAAGCCTCAATAAAATGTACTTGAAAATAGTAAAGTGAATAATTTGTTTTTGAAAAATGATTACTGAAACTTGACCCTTTTTCTGAAAGTAAAGAACAAGAAAGAACAAGAGATAAAGAAGCTGAAATAGTCTCTTCTCTTCCGCCATTTCAGCTCATGATGCTCCCCCACAAGAATCACAGACTCACAAACCCTCATAGGCACAAGAACCCTTCCATGGTGCTGGTGAGAGCAGTCCAACTCCCAAACAATATAAGCTATAGTTTTCCTTGAATACCTCTCAGTAGTTGAAGGTAAATCCGTATTGCTGAAGAAACAGCACACTTAGAACATTCATTTAAACTAGATCTAACACAAAAATCTCCTTCCTGTCAGGATCTAGCTTTCATAGTACCAGAAAGTACTGTGTAAGCTGCCAAGGGAGGGGCACAACTAACAGTTCTACCAGCTGTGACACCCATGAATCACAATGACCAGCACAGCAAGTTATATGTGAACGTGAGAGTCTAGATGGTAATCAACAGCAGTGTAAGTGGACATAAGGACCACACAACAGGAGGAGAATAATGTCTCCTACTGAAGCCTTAGCCAACTCCCTGGGCCTGGTTTCGTCCTAGATCCTAGAAGAGAATCCACCACTTTACTAGACCACACCCTAAAAGTTATCCTCATACCAAGACATAGGAGTAGCTCTCACCCCTCATGAAAAAAACTTTTCTCTACAGCAAATGGAGCCCATCACCAAAACTGGATACAATGTAGAGATCAAGATCAATGGATTGTGGAGACTCAACCCTAACTAACATTATCAACAGCACAGCCCCTGCATTATCTTCAGTCAGCCCTGAAGTCACATACACAGAAAAAAACAGCAGTTGTATTTATTACTTGTCCATATATTTATATGTAAAAGTAATAATTTAAAAAGAGGCTCTCAATTTGAAAATGGGGAACACAAGAAGGGCTGAAGGGAAGAAAGGAAAATGGAAAGTGATTTAAATATTGTAATTAAAAAGTTAAAAAAGAAAATACCTTTAAATCAAAAAATGTAGTTTAAGCTCTTCTTGGTTCTATAGGTTAACTTTAGCTTCTCTTATTCTCTCTGGCCACTCCCTCCCCTCCTCACACTTCACAGTAACATAAATGAATGCCATATTCAGCAGTGACACTAGAGGTCCTCAGCTGCATAGTATTTCAATACCGATTTCTTATGGAATTGGAATCAAAGCTTTGCAGTGATTGTTTTCATTAAACCAACTTTTAAACAGCTGAATACAGAAGACTCATTCTACTTCCTATAGGGTGTTTTTAGAAATTGATATCAGATTTGTATGTCAAAAACACATTCCTGTTAAAATGAAGGGGTACATATCAAAATAAATTTTGTTCATAAATTTTTAAAAACTAAAATTCATGAACTCAGTTACATTCTTGGCTACTGCTTGAGACTTTGTGGGAATCACAGTTAATGGACTCAGTATCGTCATACTGATTCAAACTAAATCAGACATGCTTTTTTTGCTTCTTTATCCACTTAGAGTTTAATTTTTACAATTTATTTTGAAACAAAAAATAAAAGGAAAAGGAAGTATTACTGTTTTAAATACTGAGGACACTGGTGCATGGCAATTTTGGAACTTGGTACACTTATTTTGTTTTGAGGAATTTTGGTGGGGAGGTATTTGGTTTTGAGACAGAATCTCACTACAAGGTCCTTGCTGTCCAGGAACTCCCTCTGTAGACCACTCTGATACTGAATTCAGAGCTCCATCTGCCTTTGCATCCTGAGTGCTGGGACTATAGGCACGTACTATCCTTAAACTTGTTTTAAACTTGTTTTTTAAAATATGGTCAACAAGTTTGACAATGAAATACTTTTTAAAGCAATATAATTACAATGTAATAGCAACATAAAAATATCTAATGATTAACATATTACAGTTCACTTGTGTGCTCTGGCACATGGACTCCGTCACCCCAACAAATACACACAGTGTAAGGCCTTATTGAAATCACACAACTCCCAAGTCAGAATCTTGCATATAACATTGAGTTTAAGTCAGTCAATTTTAGCTTCTGTGGTATGGTTTGAAGTGATATGTCTTACATGTATGTTTGAATCATTGATTCCCCAGATGGAAACACTGTTTGGAGAGGTACAAGAATCTTTTGGCTATTGTGTGTCAATGGGACACACAAGGCCATTACAGGAATAAGACAGGTTGACTCCATTGCTTCCCAGTTTGAAAGCTCCCAATAACAAATCCTCCTCGTGATGGATTATATCTCCTGACCCATCGACCAAAATAAACCCTTCTTCACTTAAGTCACCTTCCAGACATTCTGTTTGGACAACAAGAAAATAACTAATACTGAACAACATCAGTACCAAGAAGAGGAGTCCCCATGATAAGCCTGGCTGTGCGATTCCAGACCTCTGGAATCTGTTTGTGGGAAGAATTTGTAAGTTTGGAGTTACAGCTAGAGAAGCCTGAGAACTCTGGATGGACAGCTTAACAGATGATTCTGATGGGAGTGTGAAGGACCAGAATGCTCACAGAAATGAGACCGTAAGGGTTCTCCCACCAAGTTTCAAAGGGAACACACATTTTATTGGGAATTAGCCTAGAGGCCGTTCATGTTACCCTGGCAGATCACCTGGATGCATGCTTGCCTGTGCTGAGGATTTGAGTATGGCTGGATTAAGAAGTAAGGGACTATGTAATCAGATGTCTCTCTCCCATCTGCCAGCTCCCAAATTACCACCCAGAGACTTACAGTAATTGCAAATGCTCAGCTGATAGTTCAGGCTTATTACTAACTAGCTCTAACATTTAAATTAACCCATTTCTATTCATTTATATTTTGCCATATGGTTCTTGGCTTTACCTATCCTCCAGCATGTCTTGTTCCTCCCCGGTGGCTATCATCTCCCCTGACTCCACCCTTCTTCTTCTCTTCTTAGTTTAGTTTTTCTGCCTAACCTTGTCCTGCTTGGCTATTGGTCAGAAGGTTTCTTTATTAAACCAATCAGAGCATAATTTACACAGTGTACAGGAATATTTCACAGCAGGACTATTTGTTTGGAGGAGGAGATTTCAAGACTAGATAGCATTCAGGCTGTGGTGTGGCTATATTCACATTTAGCCAGATTTACAGTCACATCAAGTTTAGAAAGTTCATCCATAGCTAAAAGGAGCTATAGATGCACAAAATGTGCAGTTTGGTGAAGAAGGGAACATGAGCCAAATTAAAGCCACAGACAAGGGTGAGCATGGACAAAGCGGCTCTAACTGTTACAGTTCCATTAATGTCAACCCGTGTACTTTCTTTACACTTTGCATGGGGAAAACCGTAAAGGTTCCATGAGACTAAGATCTCACCCATGTACAGATCTGGGGTATAAAACAGAACATCCACTTACAGAACATTCATTTGAAAGGAAAGTGCCCTGAAACAGTGTTCTTCCATGGTGAACTAGTAGAAAACAATTGCCTAAGGAGGATTTTCTGAGATTCAGCCATGAAGGCACATAGATGGCACTGCAGCAACGGTCTAAAGGTCAGACTACATCTTAAGCAACAGCAGAATTTACCGTCATCCTATGGGGTAATTTGTGTAGGCTTATAGGATGCAAGAGAGAAGGAGTCATGGAGGCTTGTTCTAAGGTTCCAGAAGAAAAGCTGGTGATACCAGGTAATGTGTGGCAGGGTCGTATTTCTTATCAGGTGGCCCTGAAAGGCTACTACTATGTGAAGCTATGAAGGCCAACCTTGTGTTGCTAATGACCATGACAGTAATGTGGTGCATCTTCAAAGGAAAGTTCCAGGCACCAATTAAAGCCAGTGCAAGAGAAGGTGCATGCATGCTGCTGGTGGGAAGAGCAGGGAGCGCAGCAACCAAGTCTGTCCGCCCCCTGATTACTGTTACAAGGAACCTTCAGGGCCAGTTGCAGCTACAGAGTCTAACATTTGTCCTGCTTCAGTCTTGCCTTGGGCTAAGGGAGCGCAGCAACCAAGTCTGTCCGCCCCCTGATTACTGTTACAAGGAGCCTTCAGGGCCAGCTGCAGCTACAGAGTCTAACATTTGTCCTGCTTCAGTCTTGCCTTGGGCTGTGGGGTTTTTGTTTGTTTGTTTTGTTTTGTTATTTTCTCCCCCATTTTCTTTGGAATGGGTTTGTTTACTCTGTGCCATTTTATGGAAGTAACTTACTTAAAATATGTTTTGGATGGGGCTCACAGGCTGGAGTCTCAGAAGAGACTTTGTTTGAACAGTAAAACTTTGGTATTTTTGAAGTTGGAATAAATGCATTTTGCATTAGGAGACACCCATTGGTTTAAACACTTGGTAATTAGCTGCTAGAACTATTTTTTGGAGACTGTAGGAATAGTTAGTGGTAAAATGACCAGTATATAATCCTGTAGTACTTGGGTAAATTGTAAATTAGACTGTTTTTGAAGAGAACCTTAGTTTCATTGTATCCATATGCTGTGATACAATTCTCTTGACAAAAGCAACTCCAAAGAGAAAGTCTAACTCCCAATTCCAGTCTTTAGTCCATCATGGCAGGAAAGTCACAGTGACAGAGCCTGAGAGAACTGGCTACTTTACATCCATAGTCAAAAGCAGAGAGCAGTGAATTAACGCATGCATGCTAGAACTTGGCTTGCTTTCACCTCTCCAGGACTCCAGGACTCCAAACCCAGGGAATGGTGTCACCCTCAGTGTGTCCTCCTACATCAACTAGTATAACTAAGATAATCCCACACGGACACTCTCAGAGGCCATTGTCCCAGGGGACTTTCAGATTCTGTTAACTTGACAAATAAACCACCAATTCCCTCAGGTATTTGCAATGTTTCCAAGAAGAGATTCTATCAGAATGTGAGAAATGGAGGCCAGGGAAGCGAACCAGAGGTCAGGGCTGCTGAAATAGATTTGGAACTCATTCATATAGAAGTGTTAACTAAAACCACACATGCTATTTCCTCAAATCAATGATCCATGACATTTCTAAAGACCACTGCATAAGCCAAGACACACATACTGTCAGCAAACCAAGGGGGAAACAATTCTAGACTGTGTAAGTTCAATGTGTTTTTTCACCTTGTAAAAATCCTAATCCTTTCCATATACATTTTCCTTTAGTATCAACTGAAGGTAAGAAGAAAGAGAAAACAGATGAAGTATAGTTAGCTACTATATGATGTAAAAATGGAGAGAGAAAAATACTGCTGATTAGTATTCAAATAATACAAGTATAAAATTCTATTTATTTTAAAGAATCTCTCATATACTTTTAAGATTTAAAAAGATCCTTTAATATACAACTTTTCAACATTTATTAGCTTATAAATTCAGAATTAGAGGACAGGGTGTTTGCAATGATATGCTAATATATTTGGAAACTTTAATTGGAACATACCATTTATTTAACAGAATTTTAAAGAAATTATTTTAAGATTTAATTTTAAAAAATCATGTGATATGTGTGTTTCTGTCTTAGGTGTGTTCACATGTGACTCTAGGTGCCACAGTATCCAGAAGAGAGTGACTATAGAGCTGGAGTTGTAGGTAGTTGTGAGCTATCCAAGGTGGGTACTGGAAACCGATCTCTGCAAAAGCAGTACCTGTCTCTAACCACGGAGTCACCTCTCCAGTCCCAGAGGAAATAGCTCCAAAAATTAAAAGAGAGAAACTTCTTTGACTACTGAACTTATTATATATTTTATGCTAAATTAAATAACTAATTTCCCCTCAGATTCACATGTTTTGCAATGGAACTTTCACAAATTAATTACAAAGATTATTTATAGAAGGTACAAAAATAACTTCCTCTGAGTCTAAGCTGTCTCAGTTGTTAGGTTGGGCATATTTTACAACTCATTTTTTATTTTAAAATAACCAAAGTTGAATATTGTAAATCTAGAATGCTATCAAATGGCCATGAGATACAAACAATGGAAAATCAACTTTCCAACCTGAACACTGGGTTGTTGAGTTTTCTTCTCAACAATTAACTTGCTAAGATCAAAACACATGTGGAAAACATGGTCCAGGTTGATAACAGGAGACTCCAGAACTGATTTGCTACACTTGAGAATGTTCCAAATCTAGCTTGCTTCACTCCCTAAGTTTACAGGGTGAGGCATATGCACTAAACAACGGCTAAGGATCGCTCATCTCCTGGCAGATCCCAAGCCTCATTGTCTTAGGAGTAAAGCAAAACACATGATCCAAATGATCCATTCCTCCTCTAAACATCTCAGGGTCTTTAAAAACAATGTAATACTATGTTGTTCCATTAAAGTTAGTATTTTATAAATTAACAACTATGCCTGTATGCCCCAGTTTTCCTGATATAAAATAATCAGCAAAATAGTATTCTAATATATCAGTGAGAATAAAGTCATCATTCAATAAGTATGGGTATTTTTGTCATAAAATCTTGTCATAAAATAAAAAATAAAATTTTTGTCATAAAATTTTCATCTTTAAAATAACTTTATTATCATGACACAGACACACTAAAATCTTTTATTCTACTATAAAAATTTTAATCTTATAAAAAGTCATCTATGAGAACATAATTGCAAATACCATACATAATAGTACAATGCTGAATATTCTTCCCTAATATTTGAAACCAAGGAAATATGAATCAGTATTTGCATTCAATTATCTGGCAATAGTTCAATTTTGTGAAATAGATCAAAAATTAAGCCATAATGATTTTTTTTTAGAAAGGAGTGTAAGCATATTCTAGCTAGTGATAATATGGTTGCCTACATAGAAAATCTTAAGGAATGTGCAAGAGAATTATTGGAACTAACAGTAAATTTAGTTCACAGGTGGGCCAAGGAGACTCTGACCAGAAGCAGATATGATGTGGCAAGGGCGTTTGTATCACTCATGGAGGCCAGAGAACAGATAGACATCAAAGAAACAACAGTGGCAGGAGCACCAAAAGGAAGACTGAAGAAATCTAGGGAGCTGCTGAGAGCAGAGACAGCAGGAAGTAAAGATGGAATACAAAGAAGGCTGTGTAGAGCCACAAGCAAGAATGACCCCCTTAGCTGATAGACCTAACCCCAGATTGCAGCCAAGCCTCACTAGTCACTGGAGATCTGTAACTAGCCTCTTTCAGACACCAAGGATCCCTATACCCTAGGTCCAAGAGCTTTAACATTCTCTGTGAGAGGAACTTCAGAGTTCAAAATAAGAGACCAGCCAGGAATTCCAAGCATAGGTGTTTCATGATACTGTTGCTAGAGCCCAGACTTTCACTGTCTGCTAAGCACCAGGCTGCCAGCCATCGGAACACAGAGCAGGTCGCCTCTACCCAAGCACCTAGAGCCCCTCTCTCCTGCATCTTGCTGCAGCACTCTGTAGGCAAGTTCCTAAAAGATGTTTCAGGTTGACCACCTTGGTAATGACCTTGACCTCCACATAGTTTGGAACTCTGCTTGTATCCCTTGCCATCATGTTTGAACATTCCAGCCACAGGTTCGGGTAATGAAGTAGATAATTACAATCTCATAAAGACTCAGGGTAAGCAATTTTTGTTAGTTTAATGTAACTTTGTACATTAAATCTCTTATGATTTAAAAAATAATCTTGAGTAAACTTGTGAAAAATTAATAGTGTACTTGTAATAAAAAATTAGATAACACACTATTCTGGTTAAGAAAACATACATTTCTTGAGCCACTGAAATAAGTGAATTAAATTTTGTCATTAAGTTCTACCCTAGTCATAATTACTACTTCTGCTTCTTCCTCAACCTGGCCTTTACTTAAAGTTCAGTGTTCACCTGGGACTACCGGTGTACACCAAGAAGCTACCATGGCCCCTTTCAGGAAAATAATCTTGGCTAGTTGAATAAATTCCTAGAACTGGGATGTCAAAGTTTTCATACACTTACCCCCAACTGAGGAATTCTTTCTAGTATGGTGCAGAATGTTAACCTTGAATTTCTATGTAGTAAGTGAATTAAAGTTCTTAAGGTAAAAACCTACATTGAATTTTATCATCACACAGTAACAAAAGAAATCAGTGTCCTTCAGAGTCTAGTTACAATGCTCTTTTGTTTGGAAATTTGTCAAGTATTCTACAGTACCTCACAGGCTTCCTTTCCCGAAGCAGGTCTTCCAAACTCCGCTCACAGTGCTCAGCCACCACCACCAGTCTTTCTGACAAAAACAAAGCAAATGCACTTTAACAAGATCATATAGCCCTCAGAAGTTATTAGCATATAACACAAATAACAAACTTTAAATTATTATTTATTTTCACTCTGTGCATGTGTCATCAGTCTTCCTTACTTCTACCTGGCTTGCTCCTCTCCGTGTCCTCTATTGATCAGTACTCCATCAACCCAAACTGAAATGCTACCCATCTTCTATCATAATTCATTAGTCTTCTCACTGTGCTTTCTCTTCATCTACTTCTTACTGAAAAAACGATTACATTTTATCCTAACCCTGGAACTTGCTTGAACCACAGGCATTTAGAGCCCACCTTGGGCTTCAGTAGAAAACTGTCAGGCTGGATTGGCAGCTCAGCTGGTAGAGTGCTCTCCTAGAATGCACAGAGCTCTGCATTGAATCAGCAAGTACTTTATAAACCAGCATAGTGCCACATGTCTGCAATTCCAGCACTGAAAGGTTGAAGGGGAGACTAGGACTTGCAGGGCCATTCTTAGTGATACAACTAGTTAGAGGCCAGCCTAGGATACACTGGACCTTTGTCCAAGAAAACAAACTGGAAATGTCACTAGCAACTCAAGAGAAAACAACCTATAATTTTTCCCTTTCTCAAACCCACACACAAAGTTCTGCTTTTTCTATTTCCCAGCTGCTTCCAGGGCCTACACGGTTTATTCTATCTGCTGCAATTGGGGTCTAAGCCAGCATTATCTCATTATGTTTCCATGGCAATCTCTTAACTGTTCTTTCACCTGAATTAAGATCTTCCTCACACATGTTTTCACACTAAAGTGCAAGTGATAGGACAATAAATCCGAATAGGGAATTCCTTCTCTAGTTTCTAGTATATATTTATCTCATCAGCTTTTGAGCACTCATCCTTTGGGGAATCAACTTGGGGCTGAAATTACCTACATCTTAACCTTTTGTAAGAACTTCTGCATTGCATTTATTTAGTGGGGTGTGTGTGCATGTGTGCTCATGCCACTGTGTACATGTGGAGGTCAGAGGAACTCACAGTAGTAGTTGTTTTCCTTCCATCATGTGTGTCCTAGGGATCAAATTCAGGTTGTCCGGTTTGGTGGCAAATGCTTTATCTATTGAGTCATCTTGATAGCCGCTTTTTAAAAAGAATGCATTTTATGTATCCTGTGTATAAGTAGTTCATGTGCATATGTGCCTGTGTACACATGCCAAGTGTGTGCTTGGAGGTCACAGAACAACTTGTGGAAGTTGGTTCCGCACTTACGTCATGTGGGTTCCAGGGATCAATCATGTTGTCACCTTTTCCTACTCCGTCATTTTCCCAGCCCCCTTCATTTTAAACTTTTATCTCCTGTCACGTTACATGGTGCTTAAAAACAGACCATTTTTCTCAGGCTCAAATGCTAATTTTACTATTCATTAACCTAAGACCTTGGGATCTCTCTATCTGGCAGTTTCTTCCAAAGAGGAAGAAAATAATGTCCACGACATAACACTGTGATAAGGGTGAAATGAACTCACATACAATTAGGACTGAGAAGATGATGAAAACAATAATGCCTACATCACAGCATTATAACGAGGGTGACATGAATTCACATATAAATTGGACTGAGACTAGTTCATAGCATAGAGCCAGCACTGTTGGCTTTTACTATTATTCAAGATTCAGGCCTCAGTAAACATGACTTCCTTTTTTTATCTCCCAGAATTGATTCACTAGTCTTATAATGTATTCCACACAGTACTTTTCTTTTGTATCACTTATTAACTCTAAAAATGTACAAACATTTTTACTTAGTGCCATTCTTCTCTACTTAGATAATACATTTTGGGATAGCAGGTCCATGTTGGTCTTGTTTGGAACTGCAATACAGGTGTCTACAATTCATCTGAAACATATAGGTACATACTAAAATTATATATGTTAAACTATGACAGGGCAAGACAGTGAAAAGGTTCCTCCAGTCTGTATTCTTGCTGAGCCCAGGTTTAACTATAATTTAATCTCCTTGGTGGAGAATCCCATGGGAAATTATCCAGCTCTATCCTAGGAACCCAAGATCTGGATATACCAGCTAATTTAGCTTCTGTTAAGCTGCCTGTTGGTACAAACCTCCTCCTCCAGTTAGCTGATCATCTTAACTTCTGCCAAATTGCTTGCTTCTATGAACCCCCTACTCCCTGCACCCTCCCCTCCACCCTGAAGGTACCAAGCTGAATGCCAGGATAGGCACAGTTTTCTCAGGGCTACACCTGGGTCCCTGAATACCTGGGTTTAGTCCCAGAAGGCCAGAATAGAGACTGTCAATTGGCTATAAACTGTGGCTGACTGGTCATCTCTGGTGGGATCCCCATAACAAAATAAATTAGAGCAAAGGCATAATGAGGACATCAGAAATGACGACAGTCATCTAAACAGATTTGTTCTGTGTTCAAAGTACACACTTATGTTATAACCTGATACAATATCTTAGTAGTACTGAAATTAATACACAAAACACATCAGAATTTATTAAAATATACATATTTCATTAATCAGCTATCTACAAGTAGATATGTGTATGCCTTTCTACCTGTAAGAGACTTGTATACTATGTGGCATTAGGCTGCAAATTTTCAGGCTTCCTCTGGAAACACCTTCAGTGTCTGTCAAGGCTTTAAGATTCTATAGAATTTTAAACACTGTTTTAGTAATGTAGAGTCATAACCCTTGGCAAAAAAATCAGCATTTCTCCCAGAGGTAAAGGAGTATATACTGAAAGAGTATTTCCATTATGAACCTCCTTTTTTGTTTTTTCCAAGAACTCATCAGAAGTACTCATTCCAAAATTCTGGATCTGTTTGAAAATAGTTTCTGTTTGTTATAGAAACAGTCTGGCTGAACAGAATAAACTGTTGGTTTGGGAATCATAATGTGCCAAAAAACAATTCAGCAATGAAGTGGCATTATTTAAAAATAACCAACATGCCAGGCTGGAGCCATGGCACATTGCTCTCCCAGTGGACCCCGTTAGGTTCCAATCACCCACACCCAGCATTTCACAGCTGCCCACCCATCACTCCAGCTCAGGGGGTCGGAGGCACCGCCACTAATGTATACATACCTCCTCACACGCATACACATAATTAATGGTGTGAAAGTATTAAACACTAAAAACAAATGGGACATTAAGGAATGTCTGAAAAGCAAGAAATAATCTTTTTGTCCTCCTCACAAAATGTATTGGATGTGAATTTTCACATGGTACATCTACCTTGAACTGTGTGTGTTTTCAGCCAGTGCAAAGAAACTGAAGATTCATCAGGAAAGATAACAGGGAAGTTGAATAAGAGAAAGGCAGGAAAAGAAAGATATGGGGTCTTCAGGGATGGGTCTGAGAATAGAGGTGCTTGTCATGCAAGCCTAATGAATTCAGTTTGATCCCTAGAACTCATGTAACTGTGGAAAGAGATAAACAAATCCACACCATTGTCCTCTGACCTTCCACACACATGCCCCTGACATGAACATGTGCCCTGACAAGTGTGTATCCCTATTCATACATGTATATCATGTACACATATGCATAGTCATAGAAAAATATCAAAGTTCAAAGCAGAAAGTTTTTAAATTTTTAACATAAAATGAATTATGAATGCCTTGTAATAAGGTGTTATCAACATATAGTTCCTGCATAATTTCTGTCATTCAAAGGAAAAACTAGATTAGAGACTAGCTCATCACTTTAAAATGTGATATTTAAGTAAATGTTTAAACAGTAATGCCAACAAAGAAAAACTGATCCACAAATACTATTAGTACCAGGGTTCTGCAGTAGTCAGTTTTAAAAGTCAGATATAGCCCTCAGGTATTCAAACAAACTTTAGTCTAGTCAAATTCACAAAGAAATTATATGAATAACTGGGTTTCTAACTAGGGCCCTTAACAAAGCTTATCCCAAATAATCCAGTGATCCTGATTCACAAGTTGAATGTCCTTGAGACAGACTGAGGATTCCCCAAAAAAGCAGCAGCCTCAGCTCCTGCCCAAATTTAGTGTCTCTGTGATGACATGTTTGGGCTGGACTAGCAAGAATCATGCACTCTAGTTCTTACCACATAATCTTTTCATACACACAAACCCTACAAGTTCTTTTATGTGATATAACCCTGACCGATTCATATATTTAGATTGAAATTTATAGGTTATAGATACAGAATAAATTATACTATGTCCTTAATAATGTTATTTTTCTGACTTAAATTTCAAATCTCTGTAGCAAAATAACTTTTCCTCCATTTCATCTCACTAGCAATCACAGAAGCATTTTTAGATAATCAATACCAAACACAAAAGGGCCACAGTACCACTTAAAGTCTTCATGCAATTCTAAACTCTGCTGATATTTTAACTCAAAAGAAAAAGGTTAAACTTGATCAAATCTGTATATTCCAGCTTTATTGGCTTCATTTAAATATATTTCATTGGCTTTTAAAAAATAAATCACACTCCAAGTTCTAATAAGATGTCTACATTCTTGAGGTTAAAAACACCATCCTGCTGATTTACCAAGAAATAGCATCTCCAACCAATTTGGAATGAGCTCCAGAAAGCACTGAAGGTCTGGCTTCTGTATGAACCTAACATGTGAAAGTATAAAGTAAGAAAACAGACCACATGTCACAACTCCATGTACAAATAAAGGACGTGGTCACAGAAGAACCACAAATAACAAAATATGTGCATAGCAAGATTGAAAAAAAGAAAAGCATAGATCCAAAATCAAAATTCTTCATCAGACACAGGAAATGCTCTTAAACCACAGTCATATGTTATTACATCATTGAGATGTATGTGGTGTTCACTAAGGAGGCTAGAAAATAGAAAATTCAATTCTACAATTAGATGCAACCAGAATGATTGAAATTCTTCAGAATAAGTGTGTTTTCAAATAAGTACTTATTGTAATTCTGCTATTAACTCCTTATGCACACAAATTTTTCAGGCACTGAACACTTGCAATATATAACACTTGCAAGAAATCAAACTCTCTAGTTTCTCTAGTTTGACAGTCATTGACATTGTCAGTCTAGGCACTCAGGCTTATGATATAGGAATCTGTAGTGTGTTCATCTCCTCTGTGGCCCTCTTTGAGAGAACTGCTGAGATCTTGGAGTTGGGAATTCAAGGAAAACAGAGTGAGTATTGATAATGGTGGTCAGGGCAAGAGACTAAGCAGACTGTTGGGCTGCCTTCAAAGACCAGCGTGGTACAAAAGGGGACCCTTTACTGTCTGGCACTGATAACCCAATGAGGTTCACAGGCAAAGTTAGTGACAGTGACACTCATAAAGGGTTTTGTTGGCTATAGCCCAACTTCCACACTGATAGGAAGTTGCTTAGAGGAAATACAGCTTGGAGTGGCATAAAGGGACTAGAGAAAGATATAGGACTGATAAATTTACCTTCTGATGAAGAAAATGTATGAAAACTAGTCACAGATCAAGGCCCGTATTACAGTTTGTGAAACTCCAAATACTTTTCCAGATATGATAGGAAGAAACTAAGGACACTTTAGGAACAAGAATGAAGTTCTAGAAACTAAATAAGGTGGTAAGGGTCTAAGGAGAATGTTCTACTCAATATGGTCACCAGTCAAGGACAATAACATACTACACTGCTAGGGTTTCCTTGGAGTGATTTGGGACTGTGAAATCCTGCATTTGCAAGGTCTTTCTTTAGATGCTGTAATTGAACTTCATGGGACTGTGAGGGGATAACTATTGAAGCATGCAGGGAATGACAGTATCTGTTCACTGTTGGAGGATTAAAAATCCCTAAATGATTCTCATAATTTTCTACCATCAATATTACTGCAGCCATCTAACACATAAAAATACTGGATACAAGTTAATTTTAATGCTTAAAAAACGTGAGTTCCTGAGAGAGCTTTTTGCAAAGGCTGGAACTATGCACTCCCTACTAGAGAGATAGTTACCATTAGTCTCATGGTTGTCTTTAAGCCACTTGGAATCAAAGCACCCCCTTCTTCCAGAACTCATCAGAATTAAATCCAGCACTCATACACCACATTAGCCTAAAGCTTTTATGTAACATAAAAAGGAACACATACAGTGCCCTGACTGTATGCCTCTTAATTAGTAAATATGTCATATGGTATAACACTAGGTTTCTGTCAAATCACAGTTAGTATTAATTAATTAAAGACTAACACAGTTTGGAGTAGATACTTGGATTTTACTTATAAGCAGAGTAAGACACAGAGTTAGCAATGTTGAGTTACACATTGTGGACTATAAATTTGTCCTTCTCCTAGGACAGGGCAAAGAAGGACAATCAAGCAGTGCTGTGACTTCACAATGACAGAGGGACTGAAATGTGGAGAGTGCCACTGCTGTGAGCTTCATGTCGTCACACTACTGTAGAAGCTGAAGGGTACAGAGCTTCATTTGCTTACTCAAAGGCAAGTTTAGGACATTCGTACGTAGGAGCCTAGACTGTCACTGTTTCAAAGCCAGCTTTCTTCCAGTGCTGCCCTCCAAATACGTCCCCATAGCAAGAAACTCTTAATAGTTTTCACCTGGAAGATGATGCCAGGCCAGACAATAATAATCTGTTACTAATATTTGCTGCATCAATAAATGAAAGGCAACTTTAAAGATCACAAAAAGCTCTAAAAATAATATATTTCAATTTCTGTAATTTTATTTATATTTACATATGTGTACACGGTCATGTGTGCATACATAGATACGTGAGTATGAAAAATCAAATATAATCATCTACTAGATAACTGCTATTTTTACCACTACTTTTCCCCCTGCCTCTCACTAAGTTTTTTAAAAGCATCTAAATAATCAAGGTACTAGGTATACAGTAGAGCTTTACAGTACTAGAGGGCCAAACAGCCTGGATCATGTTGCTAAGGCATTATTATAGACTTACATGATGAACACTTTCAAAGTCAATTTAACAAAATTTATTTTTATATGAATTAGTATTCTACCTTTTCCTGTTTTCCTCTATGCAATCATGTTCTCTGCCTCAGTTTCCTTATCTGTAAAACAATTCTGTAGTTGTTCCTGTTGTATAGTAGTATGATGAAGATTTTTAATTGCTATAAGTAACACCTGGACTAATGCCTAGTATGTAATAAGAACTCATAATGAGAGCTACCATTATATAAAAAGAATATTCTGCTCATAATCAACAAACAAATATTCTTAGAGCAAATAATTTTTAAAAGAAATGAACTAGCCAACTTCAAGTACAGTTTAGTATACTTTTCAGAAAAACAAAGAAAAGGTAAATATTTATGAAGGTATTCACCATTAGGTAGAAACATATGAAGCAGATATTTTTGTAATTTTTAAAAAGCGGCATGAGAAAGATGCCATACAACAGAGTTCAAGAGGAAGGGTTTTTTAAATTAGGGATAGGCCTCATAAAAAGTAGAAAGGGGAGGGGGAGAGACTGGCCTCCAGGGATAGGAGCAGTGGGAGAGAGAAGAGAGGCAGAGAGACAGAGAGGGAAACACACAGAGAGAAACAGAAAGAGAAAGATAGAAAGAGGGAGAGAAACAGAGAGAAAGAGAGAGAAATCAGAAAGAGAAATAGAAAGAGAGAAACAGAAAGAAACAAAGAGAGAAACAGAAACAGAGAAACAGAAACAGAGAGAGAAAACAAAAAGAGAAATAGAGAGAAACAGAGAGAGAGAAACAGAAAGAAACAGACAGAAAGAGAAAGAGAGAGAAAACAGAAAGAGAAATAGGAAGAGAAACAGAAAGAGGGAAAACAGAAAGAGAGAAACAGATAGAGAAAACAGAAAGAGAAATAGAAACACAAAGAGAAACAGAAAGAGGGGAACAGAAAGAGAAAGAAAGAAAGAAACAGGAAGAGAGAGAAACAGAAAGAGAGGGAAAGAGAAAGAAACAGAAAGAAGGAGAGAAAGAAAGTAAGGAGGATGGAAGGAGGGCAGGGCCCTTTTAAATGTGAACGTAGTGAATGTGCACAGGAGGCGCTCTTGGTGGCTGCAGCTGAGGACATATGCTGTCAAAACACCAAGGACAGATCTGTACAGATGCCTGAATACTAAGAAATATTTTATAGAAAAAACGGCTGAATGTCATAAAGTAGGTTTAGGTTTGACGTTGATTCATTTTTATACCTCCAAATTATTTCATATCAGAAAATCAGACATTACTAAAGGCATTTATTTAAAGGCATTTAATTTAAGATAATTCTAAGACATAGAACTTCAGCCTGCCATTAAGATTCCTAAACAATTCTAGCACGGTAAGTACTGTCATCATCAGCAACTTCAGGTGTGGAAGAACCTCATTATACGATCACAAAGGCAGTGAATACTGCTATCAAGCATTGGATTTCAACCAACTACTTTAGTTCTATTAAAAAAAGCATCTGCCACAGTAATAACGACTCCCTTCATTTAAAAGTTAGTCGTTTACTTTGAAGCATAAAAGCAAGTTCATGACTGCATGTCAATATTCTATATTTAAAATTACATCTTGAATTGAAGCAGTGAACATAAAATAATAAAAAACAACAAAAATCAAAAACCAAAACTTACCATGCTTTCCCCTAGAAATATCCACATATTGGCACAGTCTGGGATGGGTGATGGTCTTAAGGATTTGAAAGCGACCTAAAATTTTGATGGAATTTGGTGTGAGAGGAAGTCCGTTGCTCCCACAAACATCATGTGGGAGTGCCGAGGCACAGAAGGTAAAGGCACCCATGTCAGCATCCTTCAAAGGAAACATGTCTGCAGGACTGGGTCCTATTAGATGATCTAGAAAAGGAGATAATTGCTTATGACAGACAGACCCAACATTAATCCAGTATTTTCTCACTTGAAAATTAATATACAACTTAGAAAAATGCCACTGTGAACTATAAACAGTTTAAAAATTTCAAGACAACATATGAAAGAAAAAGATCCAAGCCTATGTTTATATTACAGCTCAAAATCATATTCAAAGATTTTCAATAATGGGAGAGATGACTGGAATTAGAGGGGCATTTGGGGGTGAGGTAGAAACCTAGTGCAATGGAAACCCCCAGGAATCCACAAGGGTGATGTTAGTCAATAGACTGCTAGTAATATGGGAAACTGAGTCTGAACCAGCCATCTTCTATAACCCGGCAAAGCTTCCAGGGGAGGAATTGTGACACTAATCCAGCCACAAAACCTTCAACCTACAATTTGTCCTGCATGCAAGATGTGCTGAGTTAAAGGTGGCTCAGAACTCGTGGAAGTGGTCTTCCAAGGATTGATCCAACTTGAGACCCGTGTATAGTTGTTTCTTACTCTTACTCTTGCCACTCAGCTCCCAAATAAACACACACTTATTCTTACTTATGAATGCCTGGCCTTGGCTTGACTTGTTTCTAGCCAGCTTTTCTTACTTCAATTAACCTGTTTCTTTTCTTCATTCTACCTTTCTTTATTCCATATGTCTCTCCCCCTCCACCCTTGCTGTCCTCTCCTCCTTTTCTTGCTCCTCCTCTTCCCTAGATATTGCCTCTCTGCCTGCCAGACCTGCTTATCCCTCTCTCTGCCTAGCTATTGGTGTTCAGCTCTTTATTAGACCAATCAGCTTTACAGAGTTAAACAAATGCAGCATCAAAGAATGCAGAACATCTTTGCATCATTAAACCAATATTCCACAGCATAAATGAATGGAACACATCTTAAACTAATAGACCACAACACCCTCATCAGAAGGAGTCCATGCCTGACACTGCCTGGATGGCCAGGAACCGGAGACTGGAGAGTCCAGAGACTTAGGATAGAACCACATGACTGGCAAAAAAAAGTCAATGAAATAATTCCTAATGATTCTCTGCTACATTTGTAGACTGGAGCCTAGCATAGTCATCATCAGAGAGACTTCATCCAGCAAGTAGGTAAGGAAGGATTAGAGGAGTTGGAGGGGTCAAGGACACCACAAGAAAATGACGCATGGAATCAACTAACCAGGGCTCACAGAGGCTCACAAGGACTGAAACAATAATCCGGGAGCCTGTATTGGTCTGAAGTAGGTCCTCTAGGTATATGTTATGGTTGTGTAAATTGGTGTTCTTGTGGGACTCCTAACAGTGGGTGCTGGGGATGTCTCTGATCTTCTGCCTGCTCTTGGGACCCTTTTCCTCCTATTAGGTTGCCCGATTCAGCCTCAATGTGGGGATGTATCTAGTCCTATTATAACTTGACATGCCATGTTTGGTTGATATCTCTGGGAGGCCTGCCCTTTTCTGAAGGGAAAGGAGGAAGAGAGCAGGGACTGGGAGGAGAGGAGGGAGGGGAAACTATGGTCAGGATGTAATATATGAGAAAAAGAATAAATAATAAAGAAAAGAAAATAGGGAAACAAAAAGTTAGATTTCCAAATTATATACCTGCAATTGGGGAGGGGTGTTTGTTTTGTTGCTTTGTTGTTGTTGTTTTGTTTTTTATACAGGATTCTCATCTATCCCAGACTGGCCTCTCCTCCCTATCCTTAAAGTCCTAATCCACCTGCCTTTACCTTTACTACATTTTCATATTAGTGAAGTTCCTCTTTTCCCCAAAGCTTCACTAACCTACTATCCTACTAGTGTAAGGACTGCAGGAAACAACGACAAAGTAAAGTCTGTACAAAAGAGCACCATCACAAAGACAGAAGCAAGGATATGGTGTGGAACGGTTAGAGGCCAACTTGGCCTCTTCAGATTTGGGGGCTTCACCTTTGAGAACCTGAACTGTGCTAAGCAGCAGTCAAAAGAAAGGCTGACATTAGATGATGTGAAATACTGAAGTATTAGAAGAGTCAGTTTTGCTACCAGCTCCCCAATATACATAGTCATTTATTTTCTAAATATATACAAGGGGAGTGAAAGGAAGCCAGGGGAGTGAAATGGAGGTAAATTATAACTGCTATAAATATTGGGAAGAGAGAGAAGGGGGGGCTGAGAGTGGGGGAGGAAGAGTCCTCTATTCTGGAATTTTTAGTGACCCAGTTAAGTTCCAGTTGTTTTAAAATGAGCATTCAATCAACAATCTTCTCCATATACATGAAACACCAGACAGTCAACCTTAACTCCTAAACACTGAACTGACGAGAATCATTGGGTAATTTAGAAGAGACTACAGGATAAAGAGCAAAGAAATGAGTGAGAAATGAAACAAAATTCAGCTGTATCTAGAGAGATTTGAGAAAATATTATATTCATTATGTAAAGCAAGAGAATATAAAATAAGACTTCATAAGAACAATGGCCAATACTCAGGAGAAAACAAATTTCTTGGTAATCAAGAAATTATGCTGTAATGTCGCACTAGAATTTCTAGCTACAATATAGTAAAAGTCAATAACTTGCAATCATGTAACTATAAAAAAAATCATTCACACAAAGGCAACACCAAACAGTTCAAGTTGCCATACCAGAAGCACCACTCACACATCTATTATAAACACATTTTTCTAGGATGTAATTTAATAAAACAGGGGGAACAAACAACATGTAAACAAGAAAATTTACATAGTTCAGTAAGAATAAACCCAAAATGGATGCTATCCAGAAGAATTAAGGCACCATTTGCTTTAATTAAGCAAAATGCCATTGAATTCTAAGGGAAATACCTTCAAGCAGAGGCATGGAATGGGGGCTTCTATATATGCCACAGAAAAGTGTGAAGACTTACTCCAAAGAGAAACGGAAAGGCAAACAATAAAGTAAGGGAGTTTACAAAAGAAAAGGGGTTAAAAATATGTCCAAACACTCTACGAAATCAAGCATACTTACTGTTGGAGGGAAAGAAAACTGAATTAGGTTTGCTATTACAAAAATGCTCATGTAGTCATGATATTAAAACAAAAGGAAAATGTGATCTAGCACATTTCATGGGTCTGTACTGAGAAATAATTATAAATTCCTACGCCTGTGAACATTTGCTTTCAACACATAAGACAAACATTACACTTAGGGTCTATAATCAGCCTTGACAATGGATAAGTAGAGATCCAGCAGAAGAAAAATGCAGGTGTCCTTGGACTATACTATTTGCCAGACTACACCAGCTAATTAGTGATAGCTGTTTGCTTACCGATGCCACTTACTTTAAAAACTTAAAAGCCAGGTACCCATAGCCACAAGCATCTGATGGCCAACCAGGAGAGAAACTCCAGATTGCCTCAATCTGGTTTGGGCACCATTTTGACAATTCAAGAGAATTTGTGCTCCTTATAACAAAAATGATACACCTATTAGCACCATCACAGATACAATTATATCCAAATTAGGGAAGGAAGGTGGTGTCATAGTTCCCACAAATTTCCCTTTCCTGTGAAATGTTTTGATGACAGCATGTATGCATACCACCTCATATCCCATTTAAAACCCAGGCCTCAGACTTGCTCTATAAGAAGCTGTTAGAGCATGGGCTCCTTCTCTGTTCATTGGCTGCCCCCTTTCAGAACACAAGGACGGCAAACTTGGTAACTAAGGCAGGTGAATCTGCTTTTTGTGGTGATGAAGAGTCAAAACAGATTCTCAAAAGTTGATATGTAAATAGGTAAGATCACCATTCCAAATCTTGTAGATACTGTGGGCTGGCTTTAAAAAGGCAATAGTAAAAAGATCTAGAATTTTAATTTAATTTCTTCTATTTTTTTGTTTGTTTTATGGGACAGGGTTTTTCTGTGTAGCCTTGGCTGTCCTAGAAATTACTCTACAGACCAGGCTAGCCTTGAACTCAGAGATTGCCTGCCTCCGCCTCCGGAGTGCCAGGATTAAAGGTGTAAACCACCACCACTAGAAATTTTAATTTCTTGTTCAATAAACAGATCCCAAATCACAGAAATTATATCTAAATACCAGGCTTGAAGTCGTAGGAAAGATGAGACATAACTGCAGCATTTTAATATTCAATTTTACAACAAAATAGTGGGTTTCCAGTTATAGATCTTAATCGCATACAATTAAAAAAAAATCAAGCACGTGTTTGATTGAAAAAGATAAAAACCACTTGCAAGCATAAAAACATTTAATTATTGCTCTACTTTACTTCTCAGGTGCACATAAAGCTCACAACCAGAAAACAGACATACATGCACGGGCTCACACTAGGTGGCTAGAAGAAGAAAATGCAAAAAAATAAAATGATGAGGTGAGAGAGTACCAGACGAAAGCCCCGTAAGCAGCTGGCTTGTGAAGTTTACTCAGGGGACACTTTGAAACTTCCAGGTTAAGCCCGAGGTTTTTGTAGCTGCTTGAGGACCACAAACAAGTCCCCCTGTTTCAATGAGCAAGAAGACAGACACAATATATCGACTCTGAAAGAGCTTGGAGACGAACGGGGGCTGAAATGGGCGGGAAATGTCAAAAACGGGGAGGAAAGACGCTGACTTTTATCTGGAGTAAGATCGCATTTGCATGTCCAAACTCGGGGGACTTGTGCTTCGAGGGGAAGGAGGTTTGGGGAGGAAGGCAGCAGCCAGCGGAGGCTGCACGGGGTGGCTCCGCAGAGGACTGCAGCCTGGCGGGGCTCTCTGGGCCCCTGACTGTCCCCTGTCCCTCGAGCCCCGCCCACGGCCACCACACAGAACGCGGGGACCCCAGAGTACCTGCCTGAGTCTGGGGCCCGAGCTTAGGGGGCTGAGCTCCTAAGCGCCGAAGCCGTGCCCGGCGGCGCGACTCAGCGGCCCGTGCTCTGCATTTCAGGCGCCTCTACCACAGGCGGCTTTCGGAAGGTGACAGCCAGCCCGAGCGACGCCCGGGTTC